CCTTTTTTTTTTTTTTTTTAAAGACAGGGTTTTTCTCTGTCTTGCAGGCTGGAGGGCGGCAGCACAGTCGTGGCTCACTGCAACCTCCACCTCCTGGGCTCAGGTGAGTCTCCTGCCCAGGCCTCCCGAGTAGCTGGGACTACATTTGTGCATCACCACACAGGGCTAATTGCACACCCAGCTAATTTTTTTTTTCCCTGACGCCAGAAATTCCTGCTAACTGGCTAAGTTTTTTAAAAAAAATCTGTAGAGACAGTCTCGCTATGTTGCCCAGGCTGGTCTCAAACTCCTAGGCTCAAGCAATCCTCCTGCCTTGGCCTCCCAAAGTGCTGGGATTACAGGTGTGAGCTGCTGCGCCCAGCTTGGTTTCTTTAATTTCTGAGCCATCAGCTGCCAGGTGCAGGTTCAGTGAAACGCCTGTGGAGAGGCCTCCTTGGCATCGCCCCCGCCCGTTACTGCTCATGCCTCCGGCTCTGTGAGCAGCCAGGGCTGGATCTCTGAGTCTGCGCCTCTTCCCGAGGTGTGCTGTTGCGTGGCCGCATTATTGCCCTCTGTGTTATTACTGAATTGTGTCTCCCCAAAACTCATATGTTGGAGTCCTAACCCCTCATACTGCTGAATGTGGCTGTATTTGGAGAGAGGGTCTTTAAAGAGGTAAAATGAGGTCACTAGAGTGGGCGGGCCCTCATCCAGTGTGACTGGTGTCCTTATAAGAAGAGGAAATCAGGACACAGACACGCACAGAGGGACGACCATGTGAGGACACAGGGAGAAGATGGCCAAAGGCAAGCCAAGGAGAAAGGCCTCAGGAGAACCAGCCCTGCTGACATCTTGATCTTGGGCTTCCAGCCTCTAGAGCTGTGAGGAAACAGAGCTCTGTTGTTGGCCAGGTGCGGTGGCTCACGCCTATAATCCCAGCTCTTTGGGAGGCTGAGGCAGGAGGATCACTTGAGGCAGGTTTGAGACCAGCCTGGGCAACACAGTGAGACCTCATCTTTAAACAAAAATTTAAAAATTAGCCGGGCGTGGTGGCATGCGGCTGTAGTCTCAGCTACTTGTGGAGCTGAGGTGGGCGGATCTTTTGAGCCCAGGAGGTCAAAGCTGCAATCCACATACACCCCCAGCAACTACAGCAATCCACATACACCTCCAGCAACTACAGCAATCCACATACACCCCTAGCAACTACAGCAATCCACATACACCCCCAGCAACTAGAGCAATCCACATACACCCCCAGCAACTAGAGCAATCCACATACACCCCCAGCAACTACAGCAATCCACATACACCCCCAGCAACTAGAGCAATCCACATACACCTCCAGCAACTAGAGCAATCCACATACACCTCCAGCAACTACGGCAATCCACATACACCCCCAGCAACTAGAGCAATCCACATACACCCCCAGCAACTAGAGCAATCCACATACACCTCCAGCAACTACGGCAATCCACATACACCCCCAGCAACTAGAGCAATCCACATACACCCCCAGCAACTACGGCAATCCACATACACCCCCAGCAACTATGGCAATCCACATACACCCCCAGCAACCACAGCAATCTACATACACCCCCAGCAACTAGAACAATCCACATACACCCCCAGCAACTAGAACAATCCACATACACCCCCAGCAACTAGAACAATCCACATACACTCAGAGGATCAACTATTCTTCCAAGTAGAAATCATTACCCACGTTTTTCAAAGGAGGAAACTGAGACTCAGAGAGGGCAAGGGAGTTCCTTAAAAAACACACAGTTTTTGGCGGGGCACTGTGGCTCACGCCTGTAATCCCAGCAATTTGGGAGGCTGAGGCAGGCGGATCACTGGAGGCCAGGAGTACGAGACCACCCTGGCCAATATAGGAAACCTCATCTCTACTAAAAAAGAAAAATGCACACAGAGAAATGTAGCTGGGTGTGGTAGGGCACGCTTATAATCCTGGCTGCATGGGAGGCTGAGGCAGGAGGATCACTTGATCCTGGGAGGTGGAAGTTGCCGTGAGATTGTGCCACTGCACTCCAGCCTGGGCAACAGAGCCAGATGCTGTCTCAAAACAACCAACCAACCAAAACAACAAAAAACACACAGTTTTGGAGGGCAGAGGTAAGACTTGATTCAGGCCTACCAGCCTCCCCAGCCTGGGCTACCCCAGGCCCGTGCCCCACCCCCAGCTGAACCCTGCCACCTCGGACCCCACGGCCTGGTACCTTTCTGACGATGGGTGACCAGAAGGACGCGGCCATAGCGGCCCTGGCCCAGGGGACGCACTTCCTCGTAGAGCTCGTCCACCTCGGCTCGGACCAGGGTCTGAGCGCTCAGCGCCATCATGTCCTCCAGCGCCCGGGCAGCCTCCTGGCCCTGCTGGAGCTCCTCTAACGTCAGGCCGCCCAGACCCTCCTCCTCGCTGTCCTCCGAAACCCCTGCCTCCACCGGCCCTTCCTCAGACTGTTTGCCGGGCATCTCTGTAAGGACAGAAAGGGGCACCCAGGCTCAGGTCCCGGGCCCAAGGGAGGAGGGGACTGGGGGTCTGGACTCCTGGGTCTGAGGGAGGAGGGGCTGGGAACTCATTGCACTTCTAATTGTGACTCAGTCTCCCTCTTGGTGAGAGGCGGGGAGACCAGTCTCTGGTGTGAGTTCAAACCCTAGGTCACAGATGTCCCTGCCCCCACATCCCTGCGTGCCGCAGCCGCCACCCGCCACCCTGACGTTGAAAGATGAACCAGATAACTGAGACTCCCCCACTGAGACTCCCCCATCTTGTTTCCAAAGCAAACAGACTTGGGCCCTGGGGGTGGATGAGTAGCCTCTGTCTCCTGAGAACAAACAGGTGCTCTTGGGCTCAGGGCTGGGAGGGCGGGCTGTGCAGAGGGCCTGGGACGGCTGGGTCCTGCATGGGACCAAGCACTCGGGATCAGTCCCCAAGCTCCTGACAGGCCTGAGGTCGCACTTTCACAGCCCAGCCACCTCCCTCAGACTCAGACCCGCAGCCCTTCCTCCGCCAGACCCAGGGGTCCAGGCCCCCAGCCCACCTCTCTCCGGGAGCCTCATATAATTCACACAACTGGGAACCCCTAGATTCTGTTTCCCTCACCCTCCACCACTCTACAGCCTCCAGGTGCAGCCCGGCCTCCCCTGAGGGACTAAGGACTCAGGCCACCTGGCACAGTCACCCTCAGGTGCTGCCCACCTCAGGCCAGGGCACCTTGCTCACCTCCCAACCTGAGCACAGACCTCCAGACCTCACCTCCTCCAAGGCCCGCCTGACCCTTCGGCCGCCGGCTGTGGTCAGTGCCTGGCACTTAGGGCCCATGCCAGCAGACGCCTGCCCAGGACCAAGACCCCGCCCCGACTTTGGGGGTCGTAAGGCCCCGCCCCTGGGCCCGCCCCTTCTGTCCCCACTGGGAGCAGAGCGACATCGTGTGATGACTCCTGGAACTGGCTGTGGTCAGGCGAATACCCTGACCCAGGAGCTCAGCCCTCCTCCCTCAGACCCAGGAGTCCAGACCCAGCGCCTCCTCCCTCAGACCCAGGAGTCCAGGCCCCAGCACCTCCCCCTCCCTCAGACCCAGGAGTCCAGGCCCCAGCACCTCCCCCTCCCTCAGACCCAGGAGTCCAGGCCCCAGCCCCTCCTCCCTCAGACCCAGGAGTCCAGGCCCC